CTTACGGCATGCACGTTAGGTGGAGCGATCCCCCGTGCATCCGGCACCGTGAATAAAGAATGCCTGCCTTTTAACACTACATTGGTGTTACGAGGTTTATTCATCCTGATTTCGGTGACAATGACAGGAATCATTCGATCAGTTACAGGCATAGCTTTGTCAGATGGTTCCTGCTGTGGTTGGAAGTAGGAAAAGCCATAGTAAAATTACATGGCTGAAGCAATTGTTTATCACAGTGACCGTAGTCATCCTTCTGTCTATGAGTGTGCCTTGTGGTGTTTTCAGAACACAGGAGACTCCTGCAGTGAATGGAAAAAAACCAAAATACAGCACCAGGTGGAGATGGGGAGATATTTTAAAAGGCCTCTGGAGAATAATGGAGTGCTTAAGGTTGGCTCCACAAAGGTCAAAGAAAAGGGGGGACTGAAGGGAGGCTAAAGGGTTAACAAAAGGACCTTTGTGAAGCCAACTGTAGATCCATCTTAAATTGCTAGCATTGTGTTTTAGATTAACTTACCAATCATATGAAGTAAACTATAGATAAGAAACTAACACTGTAGGGAATGTGGAAGAGGGGAGATTAGTAGCAAATGGCCCAGCAGCCATTTGCCAGGCAGACGCGGTGCTTAGGGACATGGTTTAGTAGTGGACAGGTACAGTTGGACTTGATGACCTTAAAGGTCTTTTCCAACCAAATGATTCTGTAATTCTATGAAATGCCAGAATAAACCACTCCGCATGTCCCATATCCTCCCTCTGCCAATAACCAGGCTTGCCTCATAAGACATAGGTGGCTCATTCTGGATTTTCCTTTGGGGAAACCCCTTCCCTGCTCCATACAATTAGCAGCTTGTTGTCTTGCATCCCGAGGATTTATGTACTTTTCTCTTTCACAATAGCAGACAGCAGTCTCATTATCTTCTGACATCCCACTGACTTCATCCAAAATTTGATGCTGGCCCTTGTCCCATGGCTATGGGTCCCCCAGATGACTCATCTCCCCCAGGTAAACGCTTCTTTGTTATTTCAGCCTGTGGCTCTGGAAATCTTTTCCAGCTCCAATAGTTCTTAAGGAATGAGGAAGTAAAATCAGGCTCTTGGCCAATCTCCCTCCCCTTTTAGTCCTCCACCCACTGCTGTCTTGACTTCACAGCTCTTTGACTTCATGGGTCCAGACTGTCTTGTCACTCCCAACCAGGGTTTTCCAAAGCCCATCTGTTAATTCTGCTGATACCAGCCTCATCTTCTTTTGTGGTATATTGAGAGTAGGCACATGTTACACAGTGGCCTTCTCCAGAATGTTTTCTACCTTGTTTTTCAGATCTCTTCACACATGTGTTGCTTGGAAGTCTTATTTAAGAGTTTCTTTCAGGCAGCTTTGTATGGTACTTTCTCTGCTGCCTTTGCCAAACACTGCACAGGATCTTCCAATACAAGATAGGAACAATCAAGTTCCATAAAATAAACTGTCTGGACAAGACAAATTCTATAGTTTAGACTCTATAATTATATAGAGGGGTTATAGGAGAGATGTTAAAACTATAAATTCTGACTTGCATGCAGACACCTCATCGGTATCAGCAACAGAGAGGGCTTGAAATTGTTTTCCATATATTTGAAGCTTGCATTGTTGCCCCATTCATTACACCAGTAAAAGTGGGGAAAACAAGATGATTGCATCAGTGCTAGATCAGTGCTCCTTCACCAGATGTGAACCAAACCTTCTGCATGTGATGAGTGGAGAAAGCCACTCTGGCTTCAGCAGGGAATGCCAGGAAGGGGGAAAGATCAGTCAGTGAAGAAGGGAATTTCCTATTATAAGGAAGGGAATAAAGAGCTCTGTGCATATCCTCATGACCTCAGCAAATCTTCAGGAAACACCAGTCTCACCCTACTCATCTGCCCTCCTAGCCCTGTCCTGAGAGCACCTCAGGAGGAGATGAGTCAGCCCGATGCCTTTCCCTAGCTCCCCTCCTCTTGTTTTCCTTCATCTTTTCCCTACTCTTCCACGTCCCCATCTCTCACTGACTGTATCTCACATAGGGGTGGAAGTGGGTGTGTGCCCACAGGTGTGTACTCACCTCCAGGATCAAGGTACCCAGAGGGGAAAATGTGAGCTCTGATGTTGGCTTTCTCCACTCTCCCTGCTCTGCTAGGCAACCCCATAGGTCCTTGAAGTTAAACACTTTTTCAAGCTTGTGACAGGACCTGTGTCCCAGGCTGTGGCACAGGGATGGATCGAAGAGGAACTTGGAGAAGAAAGCTTGAGAACGTGCCTGTGGGAGATGGGAACCTTCAGAGGATGATACTATGGCCAGGATGGAGACTGGCAATCCCAGAACTGAGTTGGTTGACCAGGACACCAAGGGGACATCCTTTCCACTTCACTACAATCGTTAATGCCCACCATGGTGCTTCAGGTATCTGAATGTGCAGTCCTGCCCACCATCCCAAGGATGGTATAGCTATGGGAAGGTGTATGAATGGCGGTATGCATATGTAGCAGGGAAGGTGGATAAGGAATTGGCTGGATGGTCACATCCAGAGGGTAGTGGTCAATGGCTTGGTGTCCGGATGGAGACTGGTGACGAGTGGTGTCCCTCAGGGGTCCATACTGGGACCAGTGCTGTTTAATGTTTTCATCAATGACTTAGCGAGATCGAGTGCACCCTCAGCAAGTTTGCGGATGACACCAAGCTGAGTGGTGTGGTTGACACACCAGAAGGACAGGATGTCATCCAGAGAGACCTGGACAGGCTGGAGAGGTGGGCCTGTGTGAACCTCATGAGGTTCAACAAGGCCAAGTGCAAGGTCCTGCACCTGGGTCGGGGTAACCCCCAGTATCAATACAGGCTGGGGGAAGAAAGGAT